ACAAACCTTCTGCCTCACTTGAACCACTGCCTTCCAGAAGTCCTTGGCTTCCACACGATGGCAGTCGTCACACATCTGGTACTGGATGACAAACTCCACCACAAATACCTGCTGCAGGATCGCCCCATTCATCACCTGCAGCGACAGAAGCAGCCATTAGTCACGACACACTCCAAGGACATTTAATTATTGAAACCCACTTGTGAACTAAGCAGTCTGAAAATGAATTCAGTGATTATTTTAGGATTAACTTCAAACTGGAGCCAACATCGAGGCGCACAATCAGCACAAAAGAGCTGGCACTGAGAGGTGCAGCAGCTCAAGTTCTTTCTAAAGGTCAAGAGGATGAGATAACAGCCACATGTAAAACTGGCTCCCCTCAAACAAATAGATTTGTTGCTCTGTGTAATTAAGATATCAATTAGATTTAAGCAGAATTTAACACACACTATTAGCTAAAAGGCAGGGAAATCGATACATTTACACTCTACTGTAAAAAAAAAGCCACAACTCAGATTTAATCTCTGCAAATGTCACCGTCCCACACTTGTCCCTTCCTTTCTGTCCTACCTCTTTCTGAATGGTCAGTTTTATCTTAATCCTCTTGGAGTGGGGCTCCGTCCACAGGAAGCCAGCATCGATAAGCCGAACCTGGAAAATTATGAAGGAGGAAGAAATGTAAATTGGGCCTCCATTGGCTCTAAAATTCAGATAACGAAGGCAATCAAGAGTCAAGAATACCTCGTTGAACAAAAGCATTAGTAGGGAGGCTGCAGCTGCTAGCTTCTGCAGCAGTGCTAAAACGGTTTCCGCTGTGTATATCAATGCATCAGAAGTTGCATACGGTCCACTTCAACTTCTGAAAGCAACTGGTTGCCACTGTTGTATTTGTATGGATCTAAGTCAAATGGTCTAAATACAAATGGTCCACTTATATTGTATATAAATAAATGCCACATTGTTTAGATAATTATTTGTACAAAATATTGAACACTAGTGGTTTTTATATCAACATATCAGCAACCTTTGTTTAAAAGTAGCTATATACAATATACAAGAGTATAGTACAAAAGACAACATGAATCTTATTAAACAACCAAATCAAACCAAATAATAGTAATGAAAAATACATCCAGTATTACCAGGAAACATTTTAAAAATTAATTTCACAACAAAATCACTATCATTTTTAAGAATACAATAGTTCTTCCATTATTGCTGCACAGGGGGAAATCAAAATTACAAAATGCAACATCATTGAATATAAAAATATCTAAAAACAAGATTAACAACTGTATATTAATAAGGTATATTAAAGCAGATTAAAAAGATGTTCCATTGACAGGTTCATATTGCAAACCTTCAGCTTTTCATAAAAAATGAAAACACAGGCAAGTCTATTATGATCAAAAAGCCAAACTGAATTAACCATTTCCTTCCGCTTCTCTATTATGCACCACTTTGTGATGCTTCATCACACAGATTATCAGCAAAATGCATCAAAGTTTGAGGTTGTTAGGCAACTAAAGGCAAAATAGTTCAAAAGGTACTTTTGCAAGAAAGTGTGTCCATTAACAAAAAAAGCAAACGTGCAAGATTATAAATGTTGGAGAAAACACTTTTGAAAGCACACAGTCATTCACATGCATTGAAATCCATTCTTTTATATTTTAGAAAGGATTTCATTCTTAGCAACACATGCCTCAGACTAAAACCGTGACTCTCTTGCACTTTAAGTCTTTTAAATTGTAGAAAGATAAGAATCCGACTTACCTTGGTCATTGAGCTCTTAAGTTTTTTCAGACAAAGAGCGAGAAGCTCCCTCGACTCCAGAGCGCACTGCACCCAGGTGGCGGGAGGCTGCAGGTACCTGATTTACAGAAAACAAGTGGGATTTCTAAATCGAGGTTTCTAAATCACCACAGAAACAATGATTTGTTATCTTGCACTGTAAAACAGACAGCTGCTTTGGGGTTCTGAACAAAATGTAGAAAACGAACCGTTCACATTGCTTGCAGAAGTGAACCGTGACTTGCTTGGGGATTCCCTCAGAGATGTCGACCTGAGTGCGCAGGCAGGCCACGCACATGTTGGCAGGGTTGGGAGGAATGGGGACACCACAGGTGCAGCACAGGCTGCGCAGGAGAAAACAAACTTTAAAAGAGCCGGAGACCCTCTGTTTCTGCCCCTCTGGTAACTTTGCAGTCATGTTTGTTATGATGCAAAATGTGTCTTGAAGGCACAATTTAGAGTTAATTTTACCAATTTTTTAAATTAATTTTTAACACCTTAAAGATTTCTCCAGCCACACTACCTCACCAGATATTTAGCTTGGCTGTGTAACCTGATATGTAGCGTTAACTTTATTTTGATTTCACAATTACTCTGATACTTGTACTTGTATTTATTCGTTTTGTATTTTACTTTATTTACTGCCAAGTCTAATTTATATGCTTACTCTGATACATTTGCATAGTTAATCACACATGCCTTTGTTGACATATATTTAGAACGTCTCCTATGCATCTCTTCTGAGATTTCCTGTTTTAAACGACACATTGCACAGAGTGTAAAAGAGAAAAGAAGGTCCTGAAATAGACCTTTAAATAATAATTTTAAAAAACAAAAAAAAAAAAAACAGAAGGCCTCCCTGAAGCCAGCTGGGAAAGTCAAAGCTGGTAGAATTTGATACCATATATGACTGTGTGTAAGCGCAATGTAATGACAGATGACAGTATTATTATTTTATTATCCATTTTGACAGGTTGAGTTTCATTAAACCAGCAGCATACAGAGTGAATACAGTATCCATTTGTGAAAATGGTCCTTCACTTTTAAAACACAAGAAAATAAGAACTAAAAAATATTGTAATTGGCTCACACAGTTCACAACACAACAAACAAAAGATCCTTACTCAGGTTTGCAACTGCAAAATAAATTCTGTATTTATGGCAATGACTGTAGGCTTGGTTAATCATTGTAGTTTGGTCCCATTTTGTTTTGTGGATGAGAAATGGTGGAGGAGATTATGACCAGCAGCTCTTAGTAGTTCTCCAACAGAAATACTACAAGAAGTATTTATGAGGGATTTTCGACAACTAATCGAAAATCCCTTGGAATTCTGATTTCATGTTTAAATTACATTTAAATTACATGGTTTGTTGGGTAAAAATTGTGTCACCACTGATTTTTGAGCATAGCAACCATGAGAGAGAACAAATGATGTTTGTCGCACCAAATACATGTAACCAAGTCAAAGATTGGATTCCACTTCTTTAACTCACATGTTCCCCTGACTGCTGGCAGCTGGAGCCTGCATGTACTCCATCTCTCAGGTCGACAATTCACAGAACCTCCCGATTTCTATTGACACAAACAGTTGAGACGCATTTGGTCAACTAAAGTACGCTTTCCTGGAGACACTTAAGCTTTAAAACACTACGATAGCTCTTACTTTTTTTATATAAGTATGTACGATCGAACATGTACTGAGACTAAACATAATACCGGTCACTTAAAACCTGTTAACATCGCTGATGTTCTGGATTTTAGCAGCACACTGTTAGCATTGAAGGCTACCCTTCTCGACTACCGAGTATCTCTGAAGGAAAATAACGAAATAATAAACTGAAACAAACGGGCAAACATTTGTTTCTACTTCCAAATGGTCTAAACGAGTGGTGACAAGCAAACAACAATGTCTGAAACAACAATAAATCCCGACATACCCTCAGTCGTAGCCCTCCACGTTTTCACAACCGAGGACCGAAAAGTGAGAAGCGTCACGAAGGACCCCGAGAGAAGCATCTGCTGCCCTCGTTTTGCCTGAATAATTTTACGGTAAACATAAGCATTAAAGCGCCATTATGTCCAAGTGATGAAGAATAACGTTGTTAAAATCGTTGAAATATGTTCTTTTTTTTTAATCTATATGGCGGAATTTATATAATATATAAATATATTACACTTATGTCACAGAAATAATCGAACTCTTATCACAGAAAATTGTCTAATTTATAGTTGAGAATTGCATATGTTTTCAGACAAATAGGCTGTTTTACTCAATTATTGGCTAAAATTTAGTAATGAAAAATAGTAATGAAAGTGAACGCTGTTTTTTTTGTTGGACCTAGGTAGCTAGAACAACCTAACTCTGTAAACTCTTGTCATCATGCAACACTGTGCACCTCTCCAGTTACTAATGCTGTCATTTGTTATAATGAAACCCCATCCAGCCTTTCTCCAACAATTCAAGGGTATTTGAATGCACCTGTCACAAGCACATGCTTGGATGCCTTCAGGTACAGTCGGATTTATTTAGGAACAGGAAATTTGACCAATCCTGCTTGTTGGTTGCTAGAGAATATTTAAATACCCTTTTCTGTGATCAAAGGTAATTCAGTACAGAAAGCATTTACAAAATAATAATAAAATAATTGTAAATAACCATGACTATTTTACATTTTATCAAAATATTTATTGTCAGTGTATCCTTTTGTTTGCTCATGTTTATCAGCTGGCATTTTTCTAGTTGTTCTGTTTACATCTGTTTTAATTCCACACATATACAGGACCACTGTCCAAGTTGGAAATTTACTTGCGAGATTTTTATTGTTTTACAAAAAACTGTGAACATTTTATTTCATTTTATTACAGAATCCAACAGCCTTTAATGCCATAGACCACACAACAAAATCAAATATTTTAAGGCTCTCCAATTCCTTTGGTTCTGTTGGGATTTTACTGAAGTACATGGGATGGAACTTCAGTTATCAGACCCAAATTATATTTTAAAATGTGCCTAGTAAGCCAGATTTTTTTTTTCTCAAGTAGTAATTATTGCGTATATAATTCTGCTAAGAGTGTCCTTAGCAAATACCTTTTTGTATAATTTTTGTGTAGGGTTTTAGTTTAGTTACTTGGTATTGGTTACAAACACAGGTAACCACTGCTAGAGGAAATTCCGATCTGCACTTGAAGGCAGCACCGTGAATCAGAACAGCAGGAGCTCAGAGTCGCAGTCAGTCGGTGTTGCCACCGGGAATGGGCGGCTTTAGACGCTCGCTATTTTCAGGTCCGGGAACTCTAGCTGAGCTGCTCAGAGCAGACCTTCTTGCTGTGACTTTACTCTCGTAAGGTAACCCGAAACCACCCTTCATTCAAATCTCAAGCGAGTTGTTCCGTCCTCCGAGTGTCGGTGTTCTCGGACCGCAGTAGATGGTCAACGGACAGCGGTTGGTGGCTCTCCGCCACGGGGCTACATGCTAAGAAAGAAGCCGCCGGAGCACCGCGTCGGTTTCTGTGTGAATACGTTGCCACTCTGTCGTCCGGGCCCGGTTTAGAAATGCGCTAAAAAAAGTGTCGCCTTTATTTAATTTGTTTTTCAAGGTGTGAAAACGCTCTGTTAAATGTGCGTCGACAAAGTCTATGGAGTGAAATCTGCGGCGGGCGCGAGGAACACAACGACCTGCCGTGGTTTCCCCGAGCTGCGTGTAAACAAATAGATGATAGAGGATACGATGACCCTGCTATCTCTTTTGGGTCGGATCATGCGTTATTTTCTGCTCAGACCGGAGACCTTGTTCCTGCTGTGCATCAGCCTGGCTCTCTGGAGTTACTTCTTCCACACGGACGAGGTGAAGACCATCGTCAAGTCCAGCCGGGATGCGGTCAAGATGGTCAAGGGGAAAGTGGCGGAGATGATGCAGAACGAGCGCTTCGGCGGGCTGGACGTCCTGGACGCGGAGTTCTCCAAGACCTGGGAGTTCAAGAGCAACAATGTGGCCGTGTACTCCATCCAAGGAAGGCGGGATCACATGGAGGACAGGTTCCAGGTGCTCACCGACGTCGTGAACAAGAGCCACCCGTCCATTTTTGGGGTTTTTGATGGCCACGGAGGAGAGGTGAGTCTGATCATGAAGATGTGACAAAGGGACATTTATGTCTGATCAAAACATGGAGGTACACCACACTCAGCTCTGTGTGGGAAACCAAACTATCCATTATACCGGAACACTAAAGTGTAATTTAGTCTAGTTTGGTATAGTTTTAGTATTTTGTTGTTGTTGTAAAATTTGAATACCAGGTTGACCTAAAATGTTATTTATTTGTTTAAAATTACTTCATCTTGTTAATCGGTTGTAGGAGTTTTAGAGCAGGTGTACATTTTTGCCAGGAATGAATTTGTAAGGTGGATTGTAATACATGTGTCCAGTTCAGATTATACAGAGGCTTGAAAAGGCATTGTTGCCCTTTGGATTACTCCACATTTTATCATGTTACCACCACAAACTGCAGTGTAGTAACCACTTAAGAGCAGAACATTTTGTTCTGATCTGTTCTTTTTTTAGGTTCTTATTTCATTTATTTGTTTATTTTTGGTTGAGGCATTGCATGTTTGGACAATTATTCCCTCTGGTTTTGGATGCTATGCAGCTGAAAGGATCGCTGATGTAAGCCCACTAACCTTACTCTGAACTTTGAAAACCTAAGGAATGCATTAGCGACAAAAAGCAAGATCTAGATTTTCCAAAAGCTTATATTTTATTTTAATGGCAGCTTATGTTGCTGCTAACAAACCGTAACACTTTGGGGATAATGTGTTCAAGGTGAGTGCCCATGTTGGTACATTTCTCCACAACTCATCTTTGACCTGTTTGTTGTTCTGTCTTTTTTGTCATAATATTCATGAATGTTTTCTATCCAATATTTGGTGATTTCACAGATGATCCATCATACCAAAATGAAATTACATACAGGCTTTCCATTAAGTGGTATCATAATAAACGGGATTGAAAACAAATATGCAGCACACTTTTAAGATATTTATTTGTTAAAAGAAAAAGATTAATAGTATTATCTTTAACAACTAAGTACACCAGATTTTATTTAGGGGTAGAAGAGTGAAATGGGGTTTAGCATAAAAGCCAGTTTGCATTAAGCGCCACCGAAATGCACCGGTTTGAAAATCTGGGCCGATATATTGCGATTCTGATATTGCTCTGATGGCTAATAACCAATATTTACCAATATTTCACTACTGTTTTGACCCTGAAAAAAAATGAGCATACCGCTGACTTCACTGCTTTTCTTTTAATCCACTTTAGTTTTCATTGTTACTGTCACATGACCAAACAAATACCACATGACCAATTTCCCCGCCCCATCCAAAAAACAAATGGCAACAAGATGGAAATAGATACAGGTTTTTAATATCTGACTGATACAATATGTTAAAAAGTGACAAAATCGGTATGTATTGGCAACAACAATGCATGTATACATTGGCAACAATGTATGTTGTTGCCAATACATTGTGCATCCCTAAAAATAATAAAATTTGTGACAAAATGTGAAAACTTAAAAGGCGTGTGGATACTTTTTTAAAAGTAGTGGTTGACATTTATTCATCTTGCTCCAATTGGGCTCATTTTCCCGTTTTAACTAACTGGTAATTTGAACAAATCTAAAATTTGGCTCAGGCTTACACAGCATGTCAGGATGAAGTGAATAAAAACTCTCTTAGAGACAGTGGCTTAAGGTAAGGGCATGCACTGAAATTCTTGCTCTGTCAGCTGAAACCTCCCCACAATTCACTATGATAGGTTTTCTTTTAAAACTAAGGTGAAGTGTCACGAAGCTGACTTTGCCAGTCGGGACTGCGGGAGGAAATCACCAATGCAGTTTTGGACATTTGAGTAAACGAAGGAGGAGTCCAACTGAAACTGTTTTCTAATGTGGAGTAATGGAGGTGCTTAAAAGTTGGCACAATAAAAAAAAACAAAAAACATATTTTTCCCTGTATGTTTATGCCTTAATGCTCAATGCTAGAGACGACCACTAAGCATAACAGAAGTGTTGCCACAATCAGAGTGAGAATACAGGTGTAGTCTGACTCACTGTTGACTCACAGCAGCTCTGATAGGATTCTCAAAAGGTTCTCCACTGCGTTTCGAATCAAACAGTTTGATGTTGTCGTTTCCTTTGGTGGCTTGAGAGGCGAGAAAGAAAAAGTAATTTACTACAAGATCCTTTTAAAATAGCTGGATTTCAACCAGGCTCTCAACTGACTACTGATGCAACTAAGTAGTCAGTTGCATCCCCCCCCCCCCAAAAAAAAAAAATCACTTGATCTTTTCTCTTCAGAGTCTGCATTACAGAAACTACGTCATGTCTCTGAGGACCATCACGGCCTGACGACGTCTTCATTCAGAGTTCGACTGCTGTGTACTGACGCTCTGCAATAACACGCTAAATATATCCACGGATGGCCATGAAAGTTATCGTTCTCTCAGAGGGAAATTAGATTTAGTGGAAGCTGAGTGCACTTCAGTAGATTTTTACCAAAAGTGGTCAATGGATTGCTGCTGTCTTGTTTTTTTTTTCTTTCGTAGAGCTTTTCCCTCTCTGCTTCCTCTCTCTATTTCAGGAGATTTCTAAAATTGAGCTTCACAAACTTCCTTAAAGGAATGTTTTGTTTTTTTTATGTCCGCTTGAAGATAAAGAGTGAAGTGGCCTCAGTGGTTGCATTATATTTTATGAAACAATTGCCAGACAGCAGCCAAGAAAAACAAGTTTCTATATTTGGTAAATCTGCATTTATTACCCCGCGCCCAAAACCTGTTGAATAAACTTACGCAGTAGGGTGCATTGTGGCCCAAGGCAGAGCCAAGAATACAATATGCCTCAGCTGGCTTGTTGGTTAGCTGTCAGAAAGTTTTATTTCTTTGTGCGCTCAAACAATTGTCTCAGTGAAACCACACTGTGCCATTAAGGCAAAGCCTTGCTGATGTCAACATCAATGTATTGTTGAGGACCCCATCAATGAGTTCACAAAGTCTTGACGTGGAGTTAAGAAATAACGCTTTTCTTTTGTAATTCAGTTCTTTTTCTCTATGTACCACCAAATTAACCACAAATGCCACCCCAGTGAACTTTCTAGTCCAATTATATGAAATCCAGATCAGAAAACAATTGAATTTAAATCAGTTTGTCAAGTCTTTGACTTCACAGCAGTCACTTAAAAGTTCAATAAGCTAGGAAAGAGGCACCAGCTGCGTTTCCATTACAAATGGGGCTTATTGAGCTAAAGACATGTTTTTTCGAACTTGCCGTGTTTCCACGAAGCAAATTTATTTTCATAATGTCAAACTGCACAATTGTATGGTCAGTAGAAACTAGGGTGCACCGATTGCAATTTTCTTGCCGATTACCGATCTTTATAAAGCCTAACCTGCAGATACAGATTTTTTTTTTTTTTTTGTGGAAACACAGCCACTTGCAGTGTTTTCATTGACCATGTGATTACCCAAATTATTACTACTGGCGGGAAGCTGAAGAAGATAACAGCTATTGGTAGGAGGATGATGGCAAAAGAGAATTCGCTAAGTTTTTCAATGGCTTACCACGTCGACTAACTTATTCACAGGGTTTTTTGTTTTGTTTTTTTAAATTGCATTTCTTATTTAATAAAAACAGCACAATTGTGAAATTAGCAGAATATCGTCGTTCTGGAAACAAATAAAGAGGGCTTTTCTTGCCCTCTTTTATAGGAATGGAAAAACAGACTGGCTATAAAGCAGAGGAGCACTGAGCCTGCAGTACTTTCTGCAAATAAAATAACAAAGACGGACAAGAATGGTAACGGCAACAATCACTCCATCAGTGGCTTTGTCCAGGAAAGAAACAGCTAAAACCCCAAAGTACTGAGCCTGGGGCACCTTAAAATAAAACTATCCATGGAAAAGAGAAATTTATATTTTCAGTGGTATGCCTATAGTTTCTGTGATCAGGCGTGATCTGAATATTTTAGTGGTATTAGTTAAATTGTGGGAAGTGAGATATTGAAAGGAAGAAGAAAAAACTCATCAGTTTTGCTGTGGGTGCTTTAGCAGCTTGTTAAAAGTGGCTTGATTTTCTAGCAGATCATCAATCAGTTCTACGTGGAATATCCTTTCCACCCCTCAGGTAATTTATGAATGTTTTTTTTTTTTTTTTTGCCACACACCTATTTTCACACTACACAGCAGATTCACTCTTCACTATTTAAAATTGGCGTTTAATGTGAGCGTGTCCATCGGCAGCCTCAATCGGCAAGCGTGTCCAGGTTTCTGATTAAATGAAAATAGATTTTTTTCTTTCTTTTCTTTTTTACCTGACGCGTAAGAAAAAAAAAACAGCGTGGAATTGATAACCTCGGGCTTTCCGTCCATTAAGCAGCAACGCGAGCTGCACTTCGCCTCCATCCTCGTCTCACAGTCAGGCCGTGAGTCGGCTGCTAAATTACAGCGGAGCGCAGAGAACACCTTCACAACAAAATACCCTCTGCGTCTTCTCTGGGCGTCGTTTCGCCTTTGCTTATTGTGTTAGCTGTTTTTTTTTTTTGTTTGCTCCATCGTGTGTCAGTCTTGCATGCAGTTTCGGCCACGGGCATTTAATTGTGAGGGTGGATGTAATGGATATGGTGTCTTGCTGAGAAGGAGGCGATGGGAGATCTCGGAGCAGCAGATGATTGCTATTTTTATATGTCTGCTGTCTGTCTTCTAATTTGGCTTGTAGTTTTGCTTTAATGCTACTTTAAAGATTTTTTTTTTCTGCTATTTCAGTTGTTTAGTATAAAATCCTCTTTTTCTAAGTAAAAAAAAAGATTTAGAAGCTGGACACTTTTTTTTGTCTGGAGAAGTAATGCTGCTAACATGCTAAGAAGTCAGAATTTCTCGTGAGCTCACTCTCACTGGAGAGATGAAAGAAAGACCTGGCATGTGACTAATTGCTCTGTTGGCATTACAGGATTACAGAGCACAAGGACACAAATATGTGCATCAGTGTGTGTAAAATAATTACTGTGTGTTGCAAGCATGCACTGTAACGCTGACGGTTCAGGTAGAGATAAGCTGGACAATTT